ACATTAATTTAACCCTGACCGGATTTGTGACCGCTGCGGTTCCACGCAACTTTAAACCGGTATTGGTTAAGTATACAGCACGACCACGGTAATTGAACGAGGTTATATCTATGCTCTGAGAATACAAAAGAATCGTAGAAGAAAATTTTGTATGGTTTAGTAGTCTCTATTGTAAGATTTTTTTCCAAGCTCATCGATGCACTTCCAAAGTGAAGTTATACCTTTTTTTTGGTTGTCTTGTGCATAAAATTGGGAACAGTTTACCTTCGTTCATCCTTGTCAGTTATTCAATTATGAAACGACACAAAATGGTGGAAGAACTTTTTAATAAAATAAGATACATTAGTTTGTCGAACTTCTACAGTTCATTTCTTCGTTTCAAAGCAAACAATTACGAGCTCTCTTACAGAGAACGAAAGTCGAAAGAAATATTACTGGTAAAATTTATTCCTCCGGAGGCAGAAAATAATTCCATGGAACGCGAAGAAGGCTGGAATTTATCAAATAAACGCGCAATATTGTGGGATCATGATGCGTTGTCTATAGAAATACCGTGGGACAAATATTCAGAGAAGTGGGGGGAAGGGTGACGTAGCAGCTAACGTTTATTTGTGACCGAAGATGACCCAGTTTCGAGTGCTGACAAATTTCGACCTTTCTTGCCGATAGTACAATAAAAACTGGTTCTGTGGAAGTCTAGGAACCGGTAGAATGGTCCAGTAAACATTAGAGTTATTGCACGCTTGACAGAAATTCATTATTATAATATCGGCGAATTATAGCTTTGTATCATTTGCTCTGCAAACTTGTACGCAGATATTTGTTCGATGTTTTAGTTTAATTATAATTAATTTCGCGTGGAGCTACTGTATCGTGTGGTCAAACATGTACAGTTAGTAATTAAAAGTATATAAAAAGAGATAATTTTTATTTTCTGCTCGAGTTATTTAGTTATTCGCAACATGCTTCGAACAAGAACCATATTTCTTTCACTGGTGATTAATTTATTTATTAAATCGATCTTCTGCTTTTACGTTTGGATGAAAGTAAATAGCTTGCTTGATAATATTGAAGTAAGTTTTTTTTAAAAACATTTTTGTGCCTTCTCGTTTCAAGATGATCGATATGTGGTCGAAGACGTTTATGTATAAAATTTTTAAATAATCATAATTGATCTTTTACGTTTAAATGGAATAAATGCATGATCGTATTTGTTTCCCTTGTTTAATTTAGATTTAATTACGTTATAAATATGATTATTTGACGAGGACCGAAATTACTGCGATCCTTGCAGGCACTATTTTCATTGTGAACTGGGAAAGCTCTATTGTCTCTATTGGTTTGTATGTTTGACACAGCAAAATATTTAACAAGATACTAATAAGTCTCCGCAAGAAATTTTTTAAATAAATAGCTAAACTCCAGGAAGATATTCTATCCATTGCAGTGATGAAAGCATATTGTACAAACATAAGTAAATGTTTTATATCCAAGTAACAGATATTGAACTCTGTGCATTGGCAAAGTAAACGATATAAATTCAAAAATACAAAGATTGATATACAAGTTGACATAGATTTGCGATATTTCATTCCACCACATATTTTCAGAACATTTCATTCCACCTACAGCCACAAGAAATATTCTCAACGTTGTTTTATTATTAAAGAATTGTTATACATAGAACGTTTAGTTCTATGTGAAAATTATTACATATTATTATTTATAATAATCTTTAAAATTTTATATAGTATGCTATTAAAAACTCACTTTACATAGCGTTTGTAATGTTATGAATAATAAGATGGCATTATGCGCTTCTTTGTGTAGGGCAACGATGACCCCACAAATTCATTCGCAAGATTAAATTGCTTTCGCTAATCTTGCGTCCAATTAAGATTATAAGTTATAATTAGGTTGGCGTAGGTTGTAAAACAGCCTTACTCTTAAAATCTCCTTTCGAGCATTCTTCGCTGTAATGCGACTCTTGGATTTACATTTTTGACGCTGTCGCGAGTATGGCTGAGTAGGAGTCGTTAAAAAATGAAAGAAAAATAAATTAAATGCGATGGCCCGAATGGGAAGCTAACGATATTATTTTAGCTGATATTCGAAACACCGAACGGGGGAGAGGGGGAATGGCACTGTTTTCACGGAAAGCAAGAGGGATGAAAATTGAAACCGCGCGAGCAGATTTACCGTGAGGATCGGGCTCCTTTTTCAGTTTACGGAATGAAACGCGGAACTTGGATGGTTCGCTACACAGAAAGCCGCTATCGCGAGCATTCCGATGAAATTGCGGATAGAGGACGTGAATGAGAAGCAGGAAAGGATTCTTGTTGCCCGTTCGTTGTTTTCGTTCCTCCCGATACTTTTGAAATGAACAGACCCGTGAATAATGAACCGCTTCGACTCCGATACATCCTATCGGAAAAATTGGAAAATATCTGATAGAACGTATACACGGGGAAACGTGCTATTTTCGATAGGAAGCGAAACCGTTCAACCCGCGGAACCTGATTTAATATCCTCTGTCTTTAACTAGCGATTTATTGGCCTGTCGACGAGCGAAATTGTCGTGTCGTAATTTAGAGAACGACTGTTAATGCAATTTTAATCGATACCGAATCAATGTAACGCGGCACACGGGCGTACGGTTTATTGCGTTAAATCAGAACACGCGACAGAGATTGCAATTTCGATGCTCCAGAAAATCTGCACGCGTTTTCGTTTCTATAATCCATTTCAGGAACGTCTCCCGCAGCCGTTTTGGCAAGATCGAGAGCACGGAGGAATTTAATGAACGTGACCGGATCTTATCGGCAGAGAACGAAAACCCGGAACGAGAAAAATCTCGTTGAAACGCTTGGCACACTCTTGGATTACATAAACACGATCAATTTAAATGGAAAACATGATTCTTATTACCGTGCTATTCTCTTTCATTTTTGTTCAAAATTTATGCCTTCCTTTTTCTCTTTCTTTAATACAGTATCAGCGATACGTTTCGTATTATTCTTATGAAATATTCATCGGAACGTGTAACAAGGCGAAGAACCGGACATTCTGTGTCGTCAATTCTCCCTAGCATTTGTTTTAATTTAATTTATTTGTTTACGAACTTTTCACAAAAAGTTGAGATTTATCATGCATAATTTCTTTATATATAAATGATAAACTCAAAACTGGTGTTGAAATTTATGGGCATTTTTTATATTATGAAAGTAACAATAGAGGAGAAAATGTATTAATAAATGAGGACTGAAATCCATCGATTTCGACAATCCAACAGAAAAATTCTTCAAACCAACTTCCTATTTTCACGTATGCCTTTTAGAAGAAATTATATAAAATGCTTCGAAATATCACTCTTTCATTTTATGTCGTTCCTGGCGCATATATTTTATATTCGGCGAAATAAATTCATATTTTCACCTATATTATATCCTTGGCAAGCCTATATCAAATATTACGAAATAAATGTATGCTTTAAATTCATTAATTCGGGGAAAGTATATGTCAAAATGTTAATAAAGCTACACTTTCATTCTCTTTTTTTTTCTAGCACAGACGTTTAAAACTCCATATTTTCGTTTAACTCTGTTTTAGCAAATTTATGTCAAATATTTCGAAAAAACCTACATTTTCAATTAATTTCCTTTGTACACATTTATGTCAAATAGTTTACAATTAAATTACGTTTTAACTTGATTACCGCTTTCAGCAAATTTACTAAAATTCTTCAGAATAAATCCACATCTACAATGGAATTTTTTCCGACATATTTGCTGTGTATAAAGTGATCATATGGTGATAAAAGTATGTGCAGAAGTATTCAACAATTTCAAAATATTGAAAATTGATAAAATAAGTGTTTTGTAATTAGCGTTCTTCGTAGTATAGTTTTTGAATCGACCACTAGTGGTGCGAGCATCGGTATATCTATTTATTCACTGTACAGTTTCACGTGTAGAGTAAATCCCTTTCGTAATAGACCTGTGTTCGTATCTTTTAAACTGTATTTGGTTATTTCATCGGTCTACCCCTCCAACAATAACTGATAATTACTTGGAGGTCCAGTGAATACGGCAGACAGGTTATTTTCATCCATTTTAATGCTCTTATTTTTCGTCAAATTTCAAACAATGCTTGCAACTTCCACGGCAGCATTTCTCAATTTATAAAGTAGCAATGGTTTTGCGAACGATGGTTTCGTTGTTTCAGAAAAATTCGTAGAAAATTACTTCCCGGCAATCCCATAATACGCTTAACAGCACCTTATTCGGTTGAAAATCTGTTTCTACGATGGTACGTGGGGCTGCACCACGTTGAAACCAATTTCTTTTCCGTTCCACATTTTCATATTAAATCCACTTTTCGTCCTCCCGTCTATAAGGTTTAAAAACGGGTTATTTTCATTTTCTTGAAAAGCAAAGTGCCGTGTAATCAGACGTTAAAGCGACTGACGAATTCCAGCGTTCGTAAACTATTACAAACTTCTATTTTTAACATTTTTAATTGCGTTCCATATTTGTATACGCGACTGAAGATTCTGTTACGTTTTTCACAAAATAGATCAACGAATCACAAAAAAAATCACCGTTTCCAAATCTTGCAAATTATTGTCAAATCGCGTACACATTTGCACCATATTTCACCTAAATTTCTATTAGACGATAAGATAAAAATCCAGCAGTAAGTGGACTTTAATAACAAAATACTTTCCCGTCAGAGGGCTTTGAAGATTGCCCTCGCTGAAAGTTCGCGATTCGGTGGAAATTATACGAAAAGATACGTTTCCACGATAGGAATGCTATTAATCATTACGATACGAATGCTTGATCAACGGTGATGTAACATTTCCCCAAAAAATTCTGATTCACCGAATCTGAATCCCATCCAGGGGCAATCTTTCCGGCTCCCCGTTACGTCCACATGATTTTTCATCGTTATGGGAGCCACGAGTCGAAGAACTCACCGAACGGTTGGATTTGTTACAGAGGCGCCCCGGGGGACGTATCTGCTGATAGATGGGCGAAGGTTAGATCCAGGAAACCAGTTCGTGCCGGTGAAGGAGGGCTCGGAGTTAACGTTGGAATGTGCTGCCGAGGGTGGAAACCCACCGCCGGTTTTAGCATGGGGAATGACTCTGTCTCAGGCCACTTTGGATGGTCCGGAGCAACCGCCGGACAATCTGACCGTGTTGCCCTCGACGTCTGGCAGGCACAGTGGGGCCCACCTTAAGGTTCTAAGGGGGCATCACAATGCAACGATCGCCTGTGTCGCGCGTCACGTCACACTAACGATGCCTATGAACGCCAGCATACTCCTCGACGTACAATGTAAGTAACCTCTCGTGCCAAAATTACACTCTTCGTCGCGGCCATTTATCAGTCCAGCGCTATAGCTAGGCAAAAATGTAGGTCACGAGGCCCAATTATCGGGCATACATTTACGGTGACCATATTGTCCAAAGGAAAAATAAAGGACTAATCTAGGTTATTATAGCTTTTATTATGTGACTTTCTTTTTATACTGTCTCATAAATTGCGGAATATTTAATTCGATAACTTTGTGTTGGATTAGATTTAAATTAAATTAGACAGATTCTAAGTAGTGGGTAATGAAAACGGGTCTAATTCGAATTATTTTAATAGTATAAATTTCTAAACTAATGCAGATATTCGTTAAAGTGTGTTATCATCGTGCTAATAGGACAATTACTTTTAAAAAAAGACAAACCAAAGTTTTGAAAAACTAAGTAAATCCAAAAGACAGCTAATTGAAGAAAAGAACTGTTTTCTGAAATAAATTGTCACCGTAGGTTCGACGGAATGCTTAAATTAAAATTATTGATTCCAATAACTTAAAAATTGTGTTCGACCAATTGTTAGTCTGTTGACTGTTGAAAGCTTGGTACGAAAAAAGTATCAAACATCAAGCTTCATACATATATGTAGGCTTTTTAAAGAAATTTGACAAAGTAGTCTTTGACAAATATTTTCAGTTTCCTTATTTTACGGACACGAATAATCGGAATATTCAAGCGGATGTTCTTCGCGAATTCGCGGAGAGTATAAATTTAAAATTTGGAGACAGTTACGTTAATGTACGAAGTGTAATTTCTGAAACCAAGAGGAAGACCGCAGGGAGAGTCATAAATAATGAAACTCGAAAAGTTTGAGGATTTCAGAACTTCCCATTTTTATTAAGTGAGAATAAAAGAGACAGTGGAATCGTTGGTAAAGCATAAAGTACCCCAAGTCGTTTGGATTATGTATATCAACCTTTTAAGTAGGATACGTATCTTTTATAAAGAACAAAAGTTTTATTTGCACGTGTGTGATTAGAACACACGTCAAGATAATTAAATTTTGATCGTTATTGCGATCCCTATTCCCAGAGTTACATTTCAACGACACCGACTATTTAGACTCTATCCAGAACACAGAATTTTAGAACGTGCTCAATTATTATGGATCATGGTTGCAAGATCCGTCAAAGAGCTGATTTCGTATGAAAGGCACACACAATTTATCGTTTGACATCAATTTTAGCTAGATACGTTCATTAACAAATCGAATGCAAGCTGTTTCTCTGGTAGCTTATTAAAACTATTAAATCCCCAGTCCTCGTCGTTTCATTCAAATCAAACCGCTGTTATTTGTTCTCATAGTTTCAAAACGTGCTCTGTATATCGCGAACCAACGTTTGCAAAATCCATCACGCAACTAATTTCGAGTACAAGATACACTATTTTACGTTGAATTCGACCCAAATACATTCATTAACAAGCGAAACAGCTTCCAAGACGATGTTCGTGTAAGTTATCAAGATAATTCAATTTTGTTCCTCGCTGCAATCTCTATCCTCATAGTTTAATTCGAACGAAACAACTATCCGTGCATTTCTGTATATATACACATTTAAAACATGCTCAAACGTCTTCCTAGGTTGGAAAATCCGTCGTAAAGTTGATTTCGAATCAAAGAGTATCACCATTGTTCCTTGCTTCGCTTTGACCTAAATACATCATTTAACACAACAAACAGCAGCCAAGACACTGTTGGTGACTAAGATATATCAAAACAATTAAATTTCGGTCCTCATTGCAATGTTGTCTGTTGTTCTATTTATTATAACATGCCACCGTGGCGAAGTTACTAAATCACCACAGAGTTGATACAACGTGGGAGAGAATCGTCGTTATCTAAATTTTATATAGTTATCTTCCTTACAATTAAAAATCACCATTCAAGATGCTGTTTCAGCTAGGATATCAAGACATTTAAATCTCATAATAATCTTTCTCTCAGTTTCCTTCGAATCGTACAGTTTTAGAAGTTTCTGAAGTGCCAGGAAGATTGTAGAATCTGCTTCAGATCTGGTTGCGGATAAGAGCACGAACAAAGGAAACAATTTTCAAGCTGTTTTTCTAGCAATTAATCCGGAGAATTAAATTTTACAATCGGTGAAGTCCTTTTCCACGTAGCTTCGTTCGAATCGAAGTTTGAACATTTCCATCTAGATGCATTCCTTGACAAACTAAGTAACTCTTAAGGGGCCATTCTACCTTGTAGTCATGAAAAATACGTGTCTCTTTGTGATTTTTTTTTGCGGGTTATTAAAGAGCGATTAATTCCGGATTTTGTAGATACATTTATTATATATTTAGCTATATTTACAAATTTTTGCAACGCATAATATCTATTGATTACGCTGTTTTTGTTGATCATCAAACAACAGTTTTTACGAACGGCACCCGACTGCGTACGTGATATCTTGCGAACAAGTTATTCGAAATCCTAAAACCAATGATATTCTTAATATAGATGAGTGTGGTTATAGCATGAACTAGGATCTTTTAAAAAAAATAAAAAATGGCAAAATGGCAGCTATTTTACGAAAAAATACTGAATATTTTCATATATTTGGTTGCTTTTTTGTTAATAAAAGAAAAAGTATTGCATATATCGCAATTATCCTAATTCATGCTATAGGGGAACCAGTTCTGAAGATACTGTATAAATTTGATGTTGATATCTTGAATAGTTTTTTAGTTATCACGCACGCAGTGCCGAAAAATGTAGTTTCGAGAAAAACAGCTTTTAAGTTTCATGTCCAGTTGTTATACCTGCGCGCGGTACATTTCAACAGGCTATAACTTCGTTAGTTTTCCGAATTTCAATTTAATATTTGGTAGACATATTTTCGAGACTACATACTAAAGGAAAATGCAAAAAATAAAATATCGATTTTTTTAATCCCACAAGGTAGAAAGGCCCCTTAAGACATCTTTGGAGTAGATTATCCATTAACCCATTGTCATGCAATGACGTGTCTGATTCGTTACAAGTTCTTGATGTCTAATTTACACAATTATGAGGCTACTGGTCATCTTATACAGGGTGTTCGCCCACACCTGGGAAAAATTTTAATGGCAGATTCTGGAGGTCAAAATAAGACGAAAATCAAGATGCCAATTTGTTGATTGAGACTTTGTTAAAAAGTTATTAACGTTTAAAGTTCCGCCTGTAGAACGGCAATCTGTGAACAGCTGCATACACGCGATAGTGGTTCTCACTCAAAAAACAGTAAGGCTGTCGATGAGTCAGTAAATAGAGTTTCTCATGCTGAGTGAGAACAGGTGGCACTTTAAACGTTAATAACTTTTTAACGAAGTTTCAATCAACAAATTGGCATTCTTGATTTTCGTCTTATTTTGACCTCCAGAATCTCTCATTAAAATTTTTCCCCAGGGGTGGCCAAACACCCTGTATATTAAAATCAACACATATTTACATTCACGAAGTATATGTAAAACAAATCTATTCTTTTTCGTGGCCATTTCTGGTACGAATAGATTTAAATAGAACTGAATAGTATACGTTTGAAAAATTAAATTAAATCGTACGTCAAGGGGTTAAATCGTCGACATTGCTGAATTTACATCCAAAGAGCCATCATCCATTTTCTCAATATTTCTCAGGGTGTATAATTTGAAATCTTAGAAAATCCGTCAAATAAAGAACGAATATTTCAACATTTACGACGTGTGTTGGTTCAATTCGATCCAGATGCATCCATAAAGGAAGTACACGGTTTCCAAGACACTTTTCGAGGCCAGACTGTCGAGATAATTAAATTTCTGGCCATCGTAGCGATCCCGTGTGTCCCCGGCGTTTACATTCGAACGAAACGGCTGCGATTTATCACCCTTCAAGCTGCATCGTCGGCGTCAAGCGTCGACAACGGCCTCGCGGAGACTTACGACCGTATTATTTAGTTGATGCCGCGTTGAAATTGCAGTGGCCACGGTCGAGATCTAATTTCCGTAGACTTCGCAGCCAGCACAATTCCCGCTGAAATATTAGGTAGAAGAAATCGCGATACGGGGCCGTCGGCGAAAAAGCTGCTGCCGCGAGGGGGTAGAAAAGTGGTGGTCGCGCGGAGAGTTTTAAAAATGGGCTTAATTCAAGTCGAGCGGCCAGGAAGTGTTATAATTCCGCGGATCGTTTTTCCCGTCGGCGGTCTGAAAGGGGTGGCGCAGCAGAACGCCGGATGGTTTTCAGGGGGATGAACGAGCGGGTAGGATTTCAGTGATATTAGAACTAGGAACCGTCGGGGAACGAATATTGCCGCCATACTCCGATGGGCCAAGGGGAAGAGTCGTGAGACAAGCCTATCGAAATTGAAACCACGAAAATTAAGTGTTTGGATCACTTGGAACGAGTTCGTATCTACAGTTGTAAAAAATTACACGATAATTGATATTATTCAATTATATCGGACGCGTCGTTTATTATTTATGTGTGTACATGATCGTAACGAACCATTTATTATTTATATTTGGACTCAGTAACGAGTCGTTTATTATTCACGTTCGATATTTTCGACCAAATGTTTGTGGTTGTCGACAAAATTATCATTATTCGGTAATTCGCGTTAAAGGGAAATCTGTGTCCATTATTTAGCGAGGAATTATCGAACAAAACTCGTTCATAAGTTTCATGTTCAAAATGGCGCATAGGGTTTAAAGATTCTTGAAACATTATGTTTTGCATATTAAAATGTCAGAGAAAGATACTTTGGGAATATTAATATTGTGGACACAAACAGAAATCTGAGAAAAATTAATATCTGGACATTTTGTATGCAAAAATTCTCCGTTCGTTTAATCATGTTCCACGGAAATTAATCAGTGACCGATATGAATATTATTGGTACACACGAGGGGAAGCTATAATTATACTTCGGATTCTGAGTACGTTGATATTTCAGACACGGAAAATAATCTAGAGAAGAGATTAATATCTGAAAGTTTATATATAAAACGGTTCCA